CAGTGTGGCGTGTCTCTGGTGTTGGACAGGTGGTCCAGTGTGGCGTGTCTCTGGTGTTGGACAGGTGGTCCAGTGTGGCGTGTCTCTGGTGTTGGACAGGTGGTCCAGTGTGGCGTGTCTCTGGTGTTGGACAGGTGGTCCTGTGTGTTTGCATCAGTCTTTCACTGAAGTCTGTTTATGCTGGAAAGACCATCCCTTCCCATTAATTCAACTTTGGGGCACAGTTAATGGGACTTTCCCTTTTAAGCAGATTAATATTGTTTCTCATTAGTAAGGACTAAAAATACTTTGAAAGCTTTCGGACATGATCAACCTGAAGCAATAGTTGTTTATCCCTCTAATTTTATATCCACTTTGGTTTCTGTGTTTAAAATCACAAATATTCCTCAAAGCAGCAAACTGCCAAACATCTGCTTTAGTGATCAAGCTAAACTGCAAGATTAACTGCCTTTAATCATTAATATCTGGCTGTTCGTTTTAATCTATTTAGTTTTGCTTCTGTTAAACTGACAATGATTGTTAGTAATCTGTGTGAAGAAAAAAATTTCATCATGTTTGACCTTTTATGTAAAAACAAACGATTAGAAAGCAGGTAGATGTTGTTTCTGTATCTGTGTGCCTGAATTAGGTCACAGTTACTTATTCAAAATCCTACCTGAGTAATAATCAGCGATACAATGTGCAAACAACACTGTAGAACAGGTTAGGTGAGTGCAGGTAGGAAAGGAGGGAGGACTATTCCAATGTCAGCACACAAAGAAAGAAAGAGAGAGAGAGAGAGGGAGGGAGAGAGAGAGAGAGCAGCTTGGAGGTTGACAACTAAACTAAATTACAAGCAGACTACACTGACAGGTGTAAAGGTGAGCTCTGACGGCAGGCGGCTACTGTAGACAGGTAAACAAGCTAAAGGGAGAGAATTGGACAAGTAACCAGTTTGCTTTGCAGGCCTGCATGGTGTCAGGTAAAACAGGAGGCAGCTTTCCCTGTTTGGTCTGGAACTGTTTCCTGAGAAATGCAGGCAGTGGCAGCAGCATAGAAGAGCAGCTAACAGGACAGCATTTATCCTCTGCTGCCTTCTCTCTCTAACAGACACACAAAGACTGAGGCAACCACCCGGCTGTTCAACCAGCTCAGCTTCAACAAGGTAAACGTACAGACTGGGATTTTTTTTAAAACACTTGATGTTTGTGAATTAATTTGCACACTTGATAAATCTCACTAATCTATTGCTTAGGTCCGCACTTTCTTTCTGCTGTTCAGTTTTGAGTGTTACGGAAATCCCACTGAGGAACGCTCACCATGGTCAGCGTTTTCGTTTTGTTTTTAAATGAGCATGAAATAATGTTCCTAAAGTTAAAGTTTAAAGAATCTAGCACTTTTTATTTTTGTCTCCTGCCTGCTGGGAAGCGGTAGATTCACACTCTACCCGTGCAACACGTCACACCAGACTAGTGTTTCCATCCTCTGCACTTTATCCTTGATTAAAGCCTCTTGTCTTAAAACTCAACAGTGGGAAAGAAAATGAACCTGCTGCCTGTTTTGGCTGCCTACTCTGGTTTCTGTCTTTCTTTGACAAACCACAGGTCCCAGTATTGAGCTGTGGGTTGGATTCGGGCATCTGTTGATTACATTAACCCCAATCAAAAACAAATGGTCACCATTGTTAGGGTTGGTGGATGTTGTTGTGGAACCAAATGCAGAGTAGAGGAGGCAGAGATGATTTCTAGCAGATTTAATGAAGATGTTAACAGCATAGAAGCAAATAATCTAGAAACAACAGGCAAGGAACTCAGGAATCAAAAACTAGGAGACACTCAGGGAAACTAAGATACAGAGTGAAGCGATGAAGGGAATCCAGCAATGAGGAGAATATATGTGAGACAGAACAAAGACTGGGCTAATCAGCTGATGGGGAGCAGGTGTGGATAGAAGCAACTAGCAGGGAGCCAGGGGAAAGCAGACTGGTACTGACACTGCTTAAATATAACTAGAAAACAACTAGAATGACACAAAATAAAGGAGAAACCAATGACGAAGAAAACCCAGAATGGTATAAAGTGTAACTGAAAACTTAAAAAGAAACTCAAACAGAACCAAAAAGTCCAGAAAGCGTTAAATCATGATAACATACATAGCGTTGCTTTAAGTGAGTAACATTGATTTAATTCAGTTTAATTCAGCTTATTTATTTAATTCACAACATGTCATCCCAAATCACTTTGCAGAGACAGTTTAATAAAAA